GAAAGCGCGGCTGATCTGCAAGAGAGGAGGGGAACCAGCTGTGCGTGTGTGTGTTTTGTTTAGAAGATGGAAAATGACTTCCCCCAAAAAAAGGGGAAGTCATTTTCCGGAAATTTACCTTCATTTTCTATTGACTATTCACCATTTTCCTTTAACCACTTCATTTTCCGTCTATTCAAACACCAGAAACTCAGAAAATGATTTCCAGAAATCATTTTCCGGGTTTCCAAACAGACCCTAAGTCTGAAATTGGGAAACAATTTCACTTGGGTGGCAATTGAGAAGCAAGCTAGGAATTGGGAGCTAGTTCAGAGAAATTGAAAATGGGTGACAATTTGGGAGCCAATTCAAAGGAATTGGGAGCTAGTTCAGAGAAATTGAAAATGGGAGCTAGTTTCAGAGAAATTGAAATTGATTGAAATTGGGAGCCAATTCAAAGGAATTGGGAGCTAGTTCAGAGAAATTGAAAATGGGAGCTAGTTCCAGAGAAATTGAAATTGATTGAAATTGGGAGCAAGTTTCAAGGGAATCATTGTGGGATGCAATTTCAGAGAATCATTGGGAGCAAGTTTCAAGGGAATCATTGTGGGATGCAATTTCAAAATGGGGACCAATTAAAAGAAGACATTGAGGAGCAATTGAATTGAGATGAAATTCACTACCAGAAGAAGTCTGGGAGTCAATTTCGAAGTCAAGGTCAACATAATTCAAAATTGGGGTTTGGAAGTAATTGAAGCACCAGGAGAAGTTTGGGAGTCAATTGCAAGTCAAAGTCAATTTTGGGAGCCAATTACAATGGAGAAATTCAAATTGGGTTACAATGGAGAAATTCAAATTGGGTGCCAATTACAAGTCAATTGAAATTGGGTGTCAATTACAAAGGAGAAATTCAAATTGGGAGGAAGTTCAAAGCCAGTTAGTCAATTGGGAGCCAATTACAATGGAGAAATTCAAATTGGGCTACAATGGAGAAATCCAAATTGGGTGCCAATTACAAGTCAATTGAAATTGGGTGTCAATTACAAAGGAGAAATTCAAATTGGGAGGAAGTTCAAAGCCAGTTTGAAGTCTGAGAACACCCAGACGTGAGAATGAAGAAGATGAAGAAAAACTTACAGTGAAGAATTTCTCACAAGGAAAAATACTAGTCTAACTAGTACGGGATTAAATTAAAGAATATTTTTAAAATCCCAAAGATACAAGGACCACTTCAGAGCTGATCAGAGAAGCCATTCTACACCAAAACAGAGACCCAGATATTCCCACTCATCGTAAAACCAAAGGAATATCAGATGAAGTTTGGGAACTCATTTACATGGAGATGAAGCTCTACCAACGGCTACCTTATCTCTTCTGACACTTTGCAGAAGATAAGATAAGATCTCTGACAAAAGATACAATATTTCAAAAATGAGATCGTCTCTTTCCAACGGACAGATTCTCATTACCAGCTATAAAATGATGAAGTTATGAAGACTTGAAGAGAATGAGCTAGAAGAGCATAGAGCAAGAGATATGAACTCATAGAGCAGAAAGCAAAAATACATTGAGCAAAAATCTCATTTGGTACAGAGCATACCAAAAATCTTCAAGTGAGAAGTGAGAAAAGAAAAAGAACTCAGAGAGCTTCAAAGAAAAATATTCTGAGAGTTCTTAAACAGAGCAAAACAGAGCATAAAAATCAAGTGTTTTACTTGATACACTCAAAGAGAGAAAACACTCAGAGCGTTCAAGAGAAATCATTCCAGAGTGTTTCATCTTCATCAAAGAGACATGCGCATCATTGAAGATCAAGTCTCAGAAGTTGGAAGCAAGACAACACTTGTTTTGGAGCAAAACAAGAGAAGGGAGGAAAGTAGCACGGAGCTGTGAAATCCTGGATTGTCACACGGAGCTGTGAGATCCGAAGCAGCAGTGTCGGAGGCACTGGGCGTGATTAGTGCGGGCTTTGTGATCAAATCACTAGATCACGGGATACGTTTCTACCGGAGTGTGGAAGACGGGGGGAAAGTAACGCGGAGTCGTGAAATCCTGGGATAGTAGCGCGGCGACGTGAAACCCGAAGCAGCAGTGTGGTGTCACTGGGAGTGATTAGTGCGGGCTTGGTGATCAAAGCACTAGATCACAGAAATTCATTGTATCTTGGAACCAAGAAGTGGTAGATATAGTGAATTTCTCTTGGAGAGAAGAGCAAGTGGAGTAGGAGGATTGCACCACCTTGCGAACCACTATAATTGTCTTGTGTTCTTTACTGCTTTCTTTACTTACTGCTCTTTACTTAATTGCTCTACACGAGATATATTGCTCACACAATCTCACACACACTTTATCTTTATTTAATTCCGCTGTGCACCATACTCTAACAATCTAGTTAAGAGTTTTGGTTTATCTCTGGCTTAGCAATTGTTGTGCTGTGTGAAAAAGTTTGAAAGTCTATTCACCCCACCTCTAGACTTTCACCTTACCTCTTTTGAGACCAACAATATATATATATATATATATATATATATATATATATATATATATATATATATATATATATATATATATATATATATATATATATATAGGTTTAGGATCAGGTGCACACAACAATTCCAATGCGAAAATGCGGTGAGATAGAAGTTGCACTATGATTAATGACTCTCTTAAAATCAATTATATACGAAATATGCACTTGAAAGCTCAAAACCATGCACTTGAAGGTATAAAAATGTGCACTTTGAAGGCAAAAAATTTGCACTCAAAGGCAAATAGATGTGCAATTGATGCAATTTATGGTACCAAAAAGGGAGGTTATTCAACTAAAGTGTTATTAAACCAATTAGTAATACAAATCGTTTGTAAATCTCACAAATTTTATTGAAAATTTAGTTATATGTTATCGAAAAGAATGCACAAGATATAACAAATACTGCCTAGTCCACTTGAAGGCAAAGAAACATGCACTTGAAGGCATAAAAGTGTGCACCTGAAGGCAAAAAAATCTGCACTGAAGGAAAAAAAAAAAAAAAAAGGTTCACTTGAATGCTATTTTTTTTTTTTTTTTTGCACTAAAAAGGGAGAAACTAAGTACTGAAACAAAATAGATGCACTCGAATAAGAGAAATATGCACTTGAATAAGGAAAAATGTGCACTCGAAGAAGAAAAATGTACACTCAAATACAAAATACAATCTAACCTACTTACTCAAAATTACAAATATACCACCCGAGCGTTTTTTAATTAATATTGAATCTTGGCTGTTGATTTTGGAATGCATTTACGGTTAGATTTTGTATGCATTTTTTTAATTGTAGAAGCTTTTTTATTTGATCCTCTATATATATATATATATATATATATATATATATATATATATATGAATTAGGGTTGATTTGGCTTACTTTAATTAGGTTTTGATTTTTTATCAGTGGTGTAAAAGAAGATTTAACAAGGCGTTTGGTTGAAGGGAATTTAAATTTCCTTCCCACTTAATTCCCACATAATTCTAAAGGCCACAAAATTTCCTTGTTTGGTTGAAAGGAATTGCAATTTCTCTATTTTCATGGAATTAAAATTTCATGTCCCCTGGGATTTTAATTCCTGAGATTTTAGGATGTCAAAAAGATAGTGATGACTCAAATTTATCCCTTCCCTTTTTAATCTAAAATTAATGCCTAACAACAACAATAGACATTTTTGACTTTATACTATTTATTCCCTTTCAATTTACATGTATACCAAACATTGGAATTGAAATTCCTAGTAATTCTACTCCTGTAAACCAAACACTGAAATTTAAATTTTCACTTTATTCCCAGTAATTCATCTCCATGAAATTACAATTCATTTCCCACGTAATTTTCCCTCTCCAACTAAACGCCTTGTAATTTGAGGAAAATAATCATATAGCTTTGCTCGAATCTTACTGTGAATATATGATACATATATATAAGTGATCATTTCATTTATAAATTATAAATTTCTTATTAGTTACACGTTCATATAAATCAGTTCTAAATATATTTAGTGAGCGCCAACAATTATGTAGTGTGATAGTACCTTGCTTTATTATCATTTCAAATTGGTGGTCATAGATTCAAATATCGGTGGTGGGGCTATTGATTCTTTGGGTTCGATCCTATGACTATCCATTTGAAATGCCATTACACTACATATTATATATATGAATTATAATTATTAATTTTATTATTTTAAAAAATCAAGGATACTTCATACATAGAATTAGTTGTACAAATTACAAATGCTATCAATATTTTGACATTGAATTAAATTTATTATAGAAACAAATGCGCACACACACAATTTCAAAAAAAGGGTACGGTTTTTTCTTTTTTTTTTTTTTTCCAAAATACTAAAGAGGAAGAAATAGAAAACTAGTTAGATAACCCTACTAGAACAAGTAACACCAACCCAATAAGCAAACAGTATAGCTAAAATGATGCCTCTCACCGGGGTTTCAAAGAAATACAAACCATGATCGTAATTTGTTGTTATATTTAGTTAGTACATGAGTTTATGTCTTTAGAATGTGCTTCATTAATTAAATCTGTCCAACTTCCAGACATAATATATAACTATATAAATGACTATCACAAAAAATAGAATGTTAGAATCTTTAATTTTACGGGAAGCTCAATAAAATAAAAATATATTACTCCCTAAAATAAAATATAAGATTTCCTTGTCCCAGGGAATTCAAAACATAAAATAAAAAATTGAAAGAATTAAAAAAAGAAAAAAAAACTATATTAAAGCTTTAAACTCAAATCAATCCCTGAAGCATCTTCTTGATCTTGTCCCTTATCCTCATCTCCCAATAAAGGATTATTTTTACCTTCATTTTTTGAATCATCTGCAGAAGTATGATTATCGTCAACTTTAATTGTAGAACCAAGCTGACCCTTATTGATCTCTAGTTTAAACGAATTTGCAACGAAATCTGTCGTCCCAAAAGCGATGCCGCCATTATTTCCTTGAATACTCTCCGGCCGTTTTAGCAGCGATCTCGGCGACCACTTCTCGTTGCGGAAGCGAGAGTAGTTAGATTCTCCGCCAAAACCGAGGGATGGTGATAGGAAGACGGCAGCCGATGAATAGCAGACGAGTAATTGGGCATTACGCCGAGCGATCGATTGCCAAAAGAGTTATAGAACGGCAAATGCGACGAAAATGTCGAGTAGGGGTGGTAGTAACGGTGGTAGTGCGGGTTCACGTACGGCGGCACCGTGTCCAACAACCATTGCCGCCGTTTCGTCAAGGCACGCTCTTGTTTATGCGCGTTCTGGTGGCCCCCGAGAGCTTGGGAAGTCGAGAACTCTCTTTTACAGAAATTGCAAGAGAAGATTATCTCAGACTCGAAATCTTGACGTTCAGCAGGTTCTCCCTTGTTCGGGGAGTTGCTATGCGGGGGAGAAGAAGTAGTCATGGCTCTAATCCAAAGGAGATGTGGATCGAGATGACAGGAGTCTGGAATGGACTAGGTGTTTAAATAGGGGATGAAATAAATCCTCCAAAAATGACCACTTATGGAAACAATGCATATTTTTAGACAACATTAAACCTTCATATATTCATATCAAATTATATTGGGAGATGATCAAGTTTGCAAAAGGCTAAATATCTTCCAGATATTACAAAGTTTTAATATGATTAGTATCTGCAACATTAACTCATCACGTGCTATTTCAGGTTTATTTAGTTCAATTTATATAATTTTCCATGTATGAGTTCAGTATATGATCTCAAGAAATATAAGTAATTAGTGATCTGAGTTGTTTCTTCTCTTCTCCTTTAGTAATTTTTGTTTTTGTTTTTGTTTTTTTTTTTTTTGGGGTTTGATATATGTATTTTGTACTGAATATTATACCATTTGACCTATACTATGTGTAATTACTTTTAATTTCATATTTATTAATTACTTGTAAATTGACAATCTTGTTATAATTTAATTAAAAGAAATTCATACAATAATATTTATCGGCACAAATTTCATTATTTGTCTTGTATAGTTGGATACAATCATGCATATTATATCTGGTTGTTCAATATAGTGTGGATAGCACCCAATACAACTTAATAGCATACATTTTTGTATTTTGTTCAAAAAATCAATATCAATCAACAATTTAGAGAAATCTCTTAAGTAAATAAAGAGAAAATACGTAAAATAGTCGTTCAACTATGTTATAATTCTCAAATTGGTAATCAATTACCAATTGACCAAAAATTCTTCATCAACTATGTAAAAATTTACTCAATTTAGTCTTTAGTGTACGTAACGGGGGACTAAAATGAGTAAGTTTTGCATATTTGAAGAACCATTTTTGACGAATTGATAGTAAATGACGAATTTGAGAATTATAAAATTGTTAATGGTTCCTTTTAAATATTAGGTCCTAAATAAATTCACATCATAAAATACAAAAGTTGGTGCAGTGGTGGGATATATTTGATGCAATAATATTATGGATCAATCTATAGAGACGGAAAATTTTCACTAAAATAACCCTATTATTTAATTTGAAGTGACAATATACGATTCATATTTTATTAATAAATAATTTTTGTTAGCACATGCGGGATCGACTAATTCATGATAACTAATAATGAATAAAAGAAATTTTATTTCTACATCATAGCGTAAAGATTTTGAAAGAAAAAAAAAAAAAATTGTCCCAATAGCTTTATCCCAATATTATTGTTCTTTTTTGTTTTTGAGTTCTACCGACTCTTGTTACCATGTAGTATCTATTCATAAATACTTTCTTAAAGTACTGAAGCACAAAGAATCAATATCATACCCACTGGAGATCAAATTCATAACCTCCTATTTGGAAGAGCCAATTCTTTGTTTAAAAAAAAAAAAGTGTTAATCATTAGTTGGGAAATGATAGAAAATTAAGATAATAGAGATGGAGATGTTTATAAAAACAGAGATTATTTTGAGTAAGTATTGGGAGATTAATTGTACATTATTCTAGGTGATTAATTGTACATTATTCTAGGTGGAAAATGGCAGTCTTAATGAAGATTTCTATCACCAACAACTGATGAATCAATCATGGATTTAATTGTTTGGCCCGCATGGGTAGCTCAACTGGTCATAGAGGTGAAACTTTGGAAGAATGACCAGGGATCGAGTCTCACCAGCGGCAGTGTGGGAGCAACCTCTCAAAGTGAGGAGCTCTGTCGGGCTGGGGTGTGGGGGGGCCACCGGTCTAGCCTTTATGGTTCATGTTCAGTTGAGTCACCATGATTTACATCCTCCCAAAGTGAGGGGGGCTCCTTGTGTGCAGTGAGCACCGGTCTAGCCTCTATGGTTCATGTTCAGTTGAGTCACCATGATTTACATCCTCCCAAATGCTCTGTCGGGCTGGTCTAGCCTTTATGGTGGTTCATGTTCAGTTGAGTGCACCGGTCTAGCCTCTATGGTTCATGTTCAGTTGAGTCACCATGATTTACATCCTCCCAAATGCTCTGTCGGGCTGGGGTGTGGGGGGCCCACCGGTCTAGCCTTTATGGTTCATGTTCAGTTGAGTCACCATGATTTACATCCTCCCAAATGCTCTGTCGGATGATTTACATCCTCCCAAATGCTCTGTCGGGCCGGGGTGTGGGGGGCCCACCGGTCTAGCCTTTATGGATGCTCTGTCGGGCCGGGGTGTGGGGGGTCCACCGGTCTAGCCTTTATGGTTCATGTTCAGTTGAGTCACCATGATTTACATCCTCCTAAATGCTCTGTCGGACCGGGGTGTGGGATGATTTACATCCTCCCAAATGCTCTGTCGGGTCGGGGTGTGGGGGGCCCTTAGGGTTGGGGTTCAGCCTTTTGGAAGAATGGATTTAATTGTTTGGGAAGAATGATATATGGATTTAATTGTGTATTTATGATGTCATGAAGTTCCAACAAATTTTAACTCTCATCACCCCTAATATCTCAGTAATTTTGGGTGTCTGTATCCTTAGTTTCCTTGTACGGAGTATTTTAATTACATTACTAATTAATCTTAATTACATAAAATAATTATAATTTATAATTTATAATTTATAATTTATAATTCTAATAGCTTAGAATCTTAGACCGGCAATTTCGCGTGACATAATAATGTTTGTTATCCTGAGGAACTGTTACTGACCAGACCTCGCTGCAAAGAGCCAAGCAAATAAATAATCAGTGTGTATAGTATACACCTTCTATCTTACCTTGAAATCGGTACCGATCTGACTCTGTGGAGTTGGGATGAGTATCCCAAGCAAGACCACTTGGAGTGCATTTAACTAAGATTCCTAGTCTCAACCCGATCTTATTACAGAGTGGCCAATCAGGAATATCGTAACACGTGAACTCCACAACACAGCCGCTCGAGCTCGCCAGCTGCATACGTCACACGTGTCAAACATGCTGAGAGCACGACATGTGCCCCTCTCAATTCATCATATAAATAGCGCATTAATTACGAAGAGGGGGACTCTTGGCAATTCTACCTAACCTTAAGAAGCTCGAAACGCTCCGACCCACTGTCACCTCTTCTCGAGCTCAACTACTGAAACCAATAAATAGACTTGTACAATCCACACTTTTCTATGTACCCTGGTGTATTGACTCCGATGTATTTACTAGGGCTGGGCATTTCGGTTCGCGTTCCAAGCCGGAAGCCGGATCGAGCTGGTTCGGTTCGGTCTCAAACCGAAGTACCGAACCAAAAAACCGATCAATTTTTTTTATATTTAAATAATAATAGATATATAATATATTAAATGTCCACAATAAGGTTTGAACCCTTATTCATTTAAATGTAAAGCAAGAACTTTACTCATTAAGCTATAACCACATTTATGTCTATATTTACATTTCTATGCTAATAAAGGTATACATCTTTCATTAAATGTTGTACACTTCAATTATAATGGACAAAATTATCCCTACTACATTCTTGTTAGACAAAAGTACCCTTACACCGTTATAACACCGTTATTATTTAATTCTAACTTTCATAACTCTATCATTATTATCATACACATATATCTTTTTCCTATTCTCTAATTATCATTTTATTAAAATCATTATATAATTACTTTAATTATTGATTATATTTTAATTAAATTTCTTTGCATGGTAAATCATATGTGTGTATATATATAGGTGCGCACACACACCAATATATGTGACCGGGTACTAGATTAGTATTATAAATATTTTATTTATTTATTGTAAAAACAAAGTATAAATTATATCAAAATTGTTTACATTATTAATAAAATAATATAAATTTTGTTCATCTCTATAGTTTTCAAATACGATGATTAAAATTTACTACTTCAAGGAATTCTGAAATATAATTTGATCTATAACTTGTAATTGTTTGCATTTATCAATTTTTTAATGTTGGGCATAAATTTTCACGCACCGCGCGTACAAAATGGTAGTATTATATATAAATATTATAATAATTAATAATCTCAACTCCTCAAGTCCTCAGACCTCAACTCTAAGTCGTAAGTCTCAACTAACATTTGGTGATTTAATAATTCTAATTTTTCAAATATTAACGATATAAATAGATGATTCTTCATCTCGTCATCAACAAAACACATCAAGTGGCACTCCAAGTGAGCCAACTGAACAATCAATCAGACAAAAAAACAAACGTTCAAATAGTGAACTTTCACCAAAACCGAAACAAATACTGAACCGAAACCGAAACCGAATCGAACCGAACTTTTTCAAACCGAACCAAACTCTATTGTTAAACTGAATTGTTTAATTTTTTTTTTTAAAACCAAAACAGAAATCGAAAAAAAACCGAAATGCCTAGCCATAGTATTTACCACACCAATGGACAGTTAAAAAAAAAAAACAATATTATGTTTTTTCCATTTCAAATTTAATCTTTTAAACTAGCGTACATCTTAAAAGTGTAAATAAATAATACAAACATGCAATAAATTATTGATTAATTAATCAACTAATAAATTAAAAGAATATGCCTCAACAGTGATAACTAGTAATGAATATACAATTATATATATATATATATATATATATATATATATATATATATTTGTATAATATCCGATATCATATTTCATTACCATGATGTTACACTTGGTCCTCAAACCTATTGCCGAATAAGTCAATAGTTATGCCATGGACCTGGGTCCACCTTGTAAGGTGGACCCGGATCCAAAATGACGAAGTTTGTGTGTGTGAAAACTTAAAATAACGATGTTGTTAGTGGTACCATTTCCGCAGCCATTTAAAAAAAATTATTGAAAACAATTCAACGAGTTAATATTCTGTTCTGTAATTGTGAATATAGAGTTCTTTAATTGTGACTATAGAGTTATGAAATTGTGAATATAGAGTTATGAAATTGTGAATATAGAGTTTTGTAGTTGTGAATATAGAGTTCTGTAATTGTGAAT